AGTGCCTGCAGTGAAGGCTTTTCACTGAATGGGGTAAAGGATTCCAATTTGGCATTGTTGGATCTCCACTATAATCACGTGGATTATTCCTGGAGTAGGAGCTTGGGAAGGGAGATAAAAATGTTTCCTTGTTCCTGAAAGTGGTACCCAGCATTCTGGCTAAACTGCTATTCAATTACCTGCAACTTCCCACAAATCCCCACCAATAAAGGGCGTTTAAATGTTGCAGTGTATTGAAAGGCTAGAAGACTTGGTGAGGGTCTAGTGCTGTGCTTTGCTCTGTAGGCGACCTCCTGCTTTTTGCAGGCACATGTGATAGCGACATACATGGTTCTTCTCTTAGGACTCTGCGATTGAACACTCAGTGCTAAGACACTTAACTGGTGAGGTGGGAAAACGTTTTAATTTCCCTTATCACCCCTAGCACTTATTGCATCAAAAGTTCACTACCTGCATACGCCACCCTCAACCCCCTATGTGCAGATTGAGGGTTTGCATATATTTATATGTTTGCAGTATTCTTGGGTGGTGTTTTATTTTAATAGAGCAGAGCTGAATCAATTGTTTGGAATTAAATATTTCCTGTAATCAAAAATAGCCCCCCCCTTTTTTTTTTGCGAATGGAAATTTTTGCAAAACATTTTCCCCTCCTTTCGTCCCCTCCCCGCCAGTGAAACCCAAAAATGAAAAAAAAAAAATTTTTTTTCTGTTTGTTTGGGTTTTTTTTTCTTTCCCTCCCTCTTTTCAGTGGCAAAATGGAAAGAAAAAGAACAAAAGTGGGGGAGAGGCAGGGGTAAAATGAAAAATTGGAAATTTTCAAAAGCAAACATTTTAATGAAAAATTTAAAATAAATGAAAAATGGTTCTTTTGACACCCCGGAAGAGTAAAAAGTATTTCAAATTGATCTAATTTCTTTGCAAAATCTCATTAACCTTTTAATCATATTTGTTGCACAATTATCAAACCATAAAAATCCGTAATCCATAATGGCTCTGCCCCTCATTAGTGCCGATGGTACTGAATTTGGCTTCAAAACAGAGGCTTTGTATATATGAGGATCACTAAGATTACAGTGGTTGTCTCTTAAATGGTAAGGGTGGGTATTAACTATTGATAGGAGATCCTGGTGGGTTTGGTACAGTTTGTTTAAATCTAGACCTTTTGAGATTACAAAACTGAGCTCAGATTTGGTCTTTTTGGCAGTCCCGTGAAACAATTTTTGTGTCCCTTTTCCCCAATATACCTGGCTGTTGGCCATGATGATTACCTGGCTAGAAATGTAGATATACGTATTACCAGACTGGATCAGACCAGTATCTAATTTAGTATCCTGTCTCTGACAATGGCCAGCACTAGACGCCTCAGAGCAAGGTACAAGAAACTCTGTAGTGGTCAATTATGGGATAAATCGTACACAGAATCATAGAAATATAGGGCTGGAAGGGACCTCTACAGGTCATCTACTCCACCCCCCCTTGCTGAGAGGCTGGATCAAATAAACCTAGACCATCCCTGACAGGTGTTTGTCCAACCTGTACTTAAAAACCTCCAATGATGGGTATACCACAAACTTCCTTGGTAACCTTATTCCAGTGCTTAACTATCCTTCTAGTTTTCCCTAATATCTAAGCTAAATCTCCTTTGTTGCAGATTAAGCCTGTTACTTATTACAGTATCTTACATTCAGTGGACACGGAGAACAATTGATCACGCTCCTCTTTATAACAGCCGTTAACATATTTGAAGACCATCTTCTTTTCTCAAGAATAAACATGCCTAGAAGTTTTTTTTAAACTTCTCCCATAGGTCACATTTTCTAAACCTTGTATCATTTTTGTTGCTCTCCTCCGGACTCTTTTCCATTTGTTCACATCTTTCTTAAAATGTGGTTCCTAAAACTGGACACTGCACATCTGCTGAGATTTTACTAGTGCCGAATAGAGTGGAGCAATTACCTCCATATCTTACATATGACACTCCTGCTAATACACCCCAGAATGATACTACCTTTTTTTTGCAACTACATCATGTTATTGGCTCTCAATTTGTGATCCATTATGACCCTTAGAGCTTTTTCTGCAGTATGACTGCCTAGCCAGTTATTCCACATTTTGTATTTGATTGTTTCCTTTCTACGTGCAATACTTTGTACTTGTCTTTACTGAGTTTCATCTTGTTGATTGTCCAATTGTCCAATTTATCACGGTCCTTTTGAATTCTAATCCAGTCCTCTAAAGTGCTTGCAACTCCTTCCAGTTTGGTATCATCCACAAATTATATAAACAAACTCTCTACTACATTATCCAAATCATTAATGAAAATATTTAATAGTACTGGACCTCAGGACAGACCACTGCAGGACCCCACTAGATGCATCTCCCCCACCCCACACACAGTTTGACAGTGAAGCATTGTTAACTACTCTTTGAGTATGGTCTTTCAACCAGTTGTGCACGGACCTTATAGTAATTTAATCAAGATCACGTTTCCTGAGTTTGTTTATGAAAATGTTATGGAGGACTCTGTCAAAAGCCTTACCAAAAAAAATCTAGGTATATCAGATCTACGGCTTTCTCCTATCCGCTAGGCAAGTAACCCTTTCAAAGATAATTGCTGATGGTTCTGAGATTGCTTCAGCTAGTTCCCTAAGTACCCTAGTGTGAATTTCATCAGTCCCTGCCAACTTGAATGCATCTAACTTATCTAAATACTATATTTTTTAACATGTTCTATCTAACCCCTATCAATTAATAGTTGGTTTATGCCCTGACGCAAAAGGTTTATATCCCTTCTATGGTTTTGTTATCCTATCTAATGTAACTAAATATGCATGTTGTCATTACAAAAACAGGACCAGATTTTCAGAAGACATTGGCCATAACTATCACTGCTGGATGATGAGTAGCTTTGAAAATCCGGCCCATATTTAGATGCCTAAGTAGGACCTGAGCTCCTTATAAAATCTGTCTCTAATTGTAGATGCTTTTCCATCTGACTATCTTGTCCAGGATGTCTAATTTGGTTTTGGACCTGCAGTGGGAGCTTTAGGAAGGCATGAGATAATTAGCCATGCTGGAATTTGACCAAGATACTGAGACTTACAAAATGAGTCATGAGATCTTTAGCGTCCTCCCCTTGCACATCACTGGGGCATTGGCTGCCTATCAACTGAGCAAGAAGCATCTGTGACTGAATCACCGCTTTTTGCAGCACAGTGGACTTATATTTACTTGTGAGATCTTATGTAATCATAGGCTTGAGTGGTGGATTTTCTACAGGTGTTTGGGGGATATCTTCCCAAAAGCAAGAATTAAGACCCTTTTTTTCTTTTTAAATCAGTTTTGAGGGAGAAAAAGGTTTTGATTTTTTTGAAATTTTTTTTATATAATCCAGTGTTCTGGAAATCAAAACTGATTGCAACTAATGGTAATTCATGTGAATGACAGAACTGACAAGACTTATCAGACATGACTGATTTCATTCATCAGAATGGCATCAGACCTGGCAATGTTCAAAATCCACTAGCCGCAAGCGGCAGATCCTGATATTGGTGTGTCCCTTTAAAGCCACCATACAACTATACCCTGAGAAGCCTGGCACAGCTGGTAGAATTAGTCTGCTGGATAGTTTCTGAGCTCTTTCTGCTGGAGCTCGGCCAGTGAATTAGTGTTGGACCTGTTCCTGTGTGTGTGCCTAGAATTACTTCCCACAAGACAGTATAACTCCCCATCAGGCAGTGTTTCAGAGAGGCAAAGCACTTGTGTAACCTCAGACCATCTGTTGGTTGCATAAATTAATTTTCCCCATTCACCATCTAGCCATAAGGTACACACTCTTTCTTTTTCCAGATTGTTGTTAGAGTTTTTCTCCCCTTTTAAGGAGGTTGTGTAGGAAGAAGGGGTGTCCTTTTAAAAAACAGAAACAAACCCCACACCTCTACATTTTGTGGTAGTTATTGCCCTTCGAAACACCACAGAATAACAGAACGAGGTGCTCCCTCACCACAGTGAATTTTAAATCATGGAAGTAAGGACAATATTAAAACAACCAACAAACCCTTAGGTGAACGATATACCTTACTAAAATAAAGGTAAATAAGTGTCTAGATCATCAAGAGGTGTAAATCAGCGTAACTATGTTTACTTCTGTGGTGCCACATTGATTCACCTCGAGTATCTGGCTCTTAATCTTTTAGGAAGACTAAAACACATCAATGATTTCAGGGCTCAACTTCAGGCATCTTTATAGGCATTTGATTTTCAGATAGGGGAGGCTCAGCACTTTGTGGAAGTCAGGACCCTTTAAGGTCTAAGGTGAAGTATCTACCTCACCTCCCGCCCACCAAAAATTGCTTAAAAATCATTTTTAAGGCTCAGTCCTGAAAGCAGCAGAGCATTGCTTGGGGATGCTGAGGACTGTTAAATAAATCCCACAGATTTTGATCTGCTCATCTCCTTGCAGAATTGATCCCATAGTGCTCTAGATCGCCGAAGTCTAATAGAGGCACTAATCCTTAAGCCATCATTGTGAGATGGGTAGTAGTGAGGTAAATACAATATCCTTTCTAGAGACGGGGAAACTGAAACTCAGAAATCCAAAGCTCCCTGGGGTAGGGACCGTCTGTTCATTATATGTGTGCACAGTGACTAGCACAGTGTGGCTCTGATCTTTGATCCTTTAGGCTTTATTGCGATGCGAATAATTAGTAATAATTATCATAATAGCCTCATGAGTGCTGAGTATTAATATTAACAATAATGATAATAAATTTAGCCCTTCATTATGGCCGCAGAATCCCCAAATCAATGGGGACACCGTTTTCAGCAGAGAGGCTGCGGCTTGCTGAGGCTTGTGGCTAGTTTATTTGGGAAGTGGCTAATAACTGAAGAGTTACTGGCTCATAGTCCTGTATTCAATCCACTAGGCCACTGTCCTGTTATTACAATGTAAACAAACAGGCCCATGTGGTAGTTCTGAATGATTTCCTTTTCTCATGCAGATTTATACGAAATACAGCGATCTGTATACAGTGGAAGCCAACAATGCACGTGACTTGGTGGAAATTGCAGCCAGCAATATTGAAAAACTACTGAGTAACAGATCAAAAGCCCTGGTGGTGAGTACTAATTGGATCTCTCTCTTCCACTTATTCTCATTCTTTTTGAGTCTTCATGTTTTACTGATGCATGTTTTTACTGTTGTTGTTTTTGCTGCTTATAAATGTAGGCGCAGTGTCAGTCTGATATGTACAGGATTTGACATATGCAGAATGATGGCTTGTGAGTTCATGATAGAAAATCAACTCATTAGTTAGTTGGCATAGGACAGACGTTTACATTATTGATTGACACATTAGGGACCCGGGCCAAATGGCAAATCAAAAGATAAATAGGTTGAAAAATATTCCTCTAAGTACACATGAATGTTCATGACATGAAGATGATAGTACTCTACAGTCATTGGTAATCTTGAAACATTGAATGAATACTGGATCCTCTAAGGTAACTTATTTTTTTAAATATTTGTACATCATCCATTGGGGAGATGTGTTTTGAGACAGACACCCAGTGAAAGTTGGGTAATATAAGATGTATCTCTAAGTAAATCACTTAGCCTTTATCGCCTCATCTTTTTAACCCTAACGTCTTTCGTGATGGTAGCATCTGATTTTCCTCTTCCAACAATGTGTTCATGTGTCTGCTGAAGCTTCACAGTGTGTTTATTCTACTGCTGACTGGCCATTTTACTCCATATTCCAACCACCTACAGTGTAAATGAAATTCACCTTGAACTTTTAAGAAGTCTGTGCTCAGTTCTAATCCCATGATCCCTTATGTTTTGAATTACAAGTAGTTGCTATTTCAAACTGCTCATTGGCAGTGATCCTTTCCTTTCCTTTAAATAGGCCAAGTCTGGCTAATTGCTTCTTGTAACTCATACCCACAAAACCTTGATTCATTTCAGAGTAGCCTTCTGCTGCCGTTTTCAATCTCAACAATGCCCTTCCTAAGAGACCCTGACCAGATTTGCATGGAGCACTCCAAGGGCTTGTCTTCACTACCGGGGAGATGTACACTTCTGCAATTGATGCAGTGAGTGTCAATTTAAATATCTAAATTAATGGAGATATCCTATCTCCTAGAACTGGAAGGGACCTTGAAAGGTCATCAAGTCTAGCTCCCTGCCTTCACTAGCAGGACCAAGTACTGATTTTGCCCCAGATCCCTAAGTGGCCTCCTGAAGGATTGAACTCACAACCCTGGGTTTAGCAGGCCAATGCTCAAAGGACCGAGCTATCCCTCCTCCCTGAGTCTAGTAAAGATCTGGTAAATCAATGGCAGAGCACTCTCCTGTTGACCCTGGTACTCCAGCTCTCCGAGAACATCTCTCATCAGTGCAGTACACTAAAGACTTTGGCGTAAGTCAACCTAAGCTATCGCGACTCCAGCTATGTTATTCATGTAGCTGGAGTAGCGTAATTTAGGTCGATGTACCCCAGTAGTGAAGACAAGCCCCAAGTGTGTTCACTCCCTTGCCTTTCCTAGTGTTAAATCTAGAAACAGGCTGTGACGTTGCACTCTATATGATTTTATAAAAATATGCTAATGAGTGAATATAATTTGAATATGCTTCATGCAAAAGGTCTCTTGTAAGGTATCATTACAAAGCTTATAATCTACTGTGTGTGGTCATCCTATCTGTATAAATGTATCACTCTTGTATCTGAAACTAGAAATATGAAATATAACTCTGAGGGCCTGTTGTAATTATGCAAAGTATAGGCTATTAATGGTTGTTTGGAATCTTGATGGCTCCCATCAACGAGGACAATTGACTGTGGATGGCTCTGTTTGCAGGCAAGCCTTCCTGTGAGTAAGGCTGGGCCAAATGAAGGCTTGGGGTCTTACAGTGACATGTGATCATGTCACCTGAACTGGAATCCATCTTTAACCTAGTGCTTTTCCATTGAGAAGTGGGGGGTGGGAACCTAGAGGGACAAAGGATTCCCGCCTTATGCAAAAGATATATAAATAGGTGGAACTAAACAAAGGGGAGAGCCATCATGAAGAATCCCCTAGCTACCACCTGAGCTGGAACAAGAGCTGTACCAAGGCCTGGAAGGTGTCCAGTCTGAGGAAAAAACGTACTGAAGCATCTCGAAGAGTGAGATTATCTGCATTCAGTTTGATTAGATATAGATTTGCGTGTTTTATTTTATTTTGCTTTGTT